CCCCGCCCGCCGCCCGCCCCTCCCCCTCGCGCCCAACATGGCCTCTGGAGGCCATGGCTTCGTGCCTTCCCAGGCGGCGCAGTACGCCGACCTGACGACGCTCATCAGCAGTCCCTCCGGCGACGGCGAGAGCAGCGCCAAGGTCTACCCTAACGAGGACACGATCGCGGCCCTGCTTCATGCACGCTGCCGCGCCGAGCTGCCGTACACGCGCGTCTCGGCCAGCGGAACAGACTACGTCGTCGTCAACCCCCGCCGCCATCTGCAGTGCCTCAATGAGGAGAGCAGGAAAGGGTATGAGGAAGACATCACTACGACGGACGGAGGAGTCGGGAACGAGCCCCGCCAGCCGAGCGCTTACGAGCTCGCTGGACGAGTTTGGCTCCTCATGAGCAGGAGGAGGGAGTGCCAGACTATTGTCTACCAGTGAGTCTACCCCGCAGCGTTTGTGCTAATGTTTTCCAGCGGTCTCACCGCGTCAGGCAAGTCGACCACGCTCCGGCACGTCACGAGCCAGATCCTCAGCCTCGCCTCCGTCACCAAGGCGCAGAAGCGGACGTCTGACCAGATCTCCCACCTCCTCACCCTCCTCGAGTCGTTTGGCAACAGCAAGACGCCGATCAACCCGTCCGCATCACAACATGCCCGCTACCTCGAGCTGCACTTTAGCCTCGACGGCGAGCTCGCCGGCGCCAAGGTGCTCCCCTTTGGTCTGAACAAGTACCGCATCGGCCACCTCGAGCCCGAGGAGCGCACCTTCCATGTGTTCTACCAGATGCTCGCCGGCGCAAGCCCCGACGAGCGCGAGGAGCTCGGCCTCGATGACCCCGACACGTATGCCCTGCTCTCATCGAGCAACTGTTATGTTCTGCCCGCGGGACCGTTCTCGGACGACTCGACGCAGCTCGGCGAGCTCCGTGCTGCCTTTGCGTCGCTAGGCTTCAAGGCCAAGCACGTCCGGTCCATCTTCTCTGTCCTCACTGCGATTCTTGTCATGTCCAACATCACCTTCCACGACGAGAAGCAGGACGGATCCCTCGGCATGGTTTCGTACGAGGAGCGGACGCAGGTCAACGAGCGTGGCCTGCTGTACGAGGTCGCGGGACACCTCGGCGTCAACCCCGAGGAGCTCGAGGCCGTGCTCACAAACAGGACCAAGTGGGTCTCGCACGACCTCGCCTCCGTGTTCCTCGATGCCGAGAATGCCGCCCTCCAGCGCGACTCGCTCATGCGTGATTTGTATGCGATCCTGTTCGCCTTTGTCGTCGAGATGGCCAACAAGAAGCTCGCTCCGGGTGCCGACACGCCCCCCGGGCTGCAGATTGCGCAGATCGATCTCCCCGGCCACCAGAGCCGCACACAGGAGACCGAGGTCGACCCCCGCCGCTCGACGCTCCTCCAGCAGGCGACTCTGATCAATGCCAGCGGCAACAATGGGTTTGACGAGTTTGCGTACAACTTTAACAATGAGTTGCTGCACTCGTACCTCCTCCGCCGCGCTTTCGACGACCAGCTCAACTGGAACTTGGACGTCACCGAGGACGGGATCCGCCTTCCCCCCGTCATTCCGCACGACAACAATGCCAGCGTCGAGCTGCTGCGCGGCGGCCTCCTCGGCTCGGCCCGTTTGGCCAAGCAGCCCGCGGGCGTCATTGGCGCTATCGCCGGTGTCGGCGAGCAGATCAAGGGCGAGGACCGCGAGGACGTCAAGGCCAAGACTGTCGTTGGGACGCTCACGACGATGTTTACCGGACAGCCGGCGTTCAACCCCAACCCCACCGGCGGACTCGGCATGACGCCCCGCCAGGGCCGCATGTTTGGCATCTCGCACTATGCCGGCCAGGTGTCGTACGACGCGACGGACTTTATCGACCACAACGCCGACGTCTTTGACAAGCAGCTCGTCAACCTCCTCCGCAACTCGCACGACTCGTTTGTCAACAAGCTCGTCTCGGGCCCCGCGCTCGCGACCGAGGGTCACCCGCTCGACGACAACATTGTCGTCGAGGCGCAGGTGTCGTCCACGCCGCTGCGCACGCCGACTCCGATCGTCAACTGCATCACGGGCACGGCGCCGATGGACCACGTCGAGTGGGCGATTGACGACTCGATCCCGCAGCCCGTCACGGCGCAGCTGAATGCGACCATGGCGACGCTGCTCGACGTCGTCGACCGCACCCGTGTCTGGGGGGTGTACTGTATCCGCCCGAACGACTCGGGGCACGCCAACTCGTACGACCGCAAGCGCATCCGCTCGCAGGTCCGCACGCTGCAGCTGCCCGAGCTCGTGAACCGCCGCCAGGTCGACTATGTCGCCGAGTACTCTCTGTCTCAGTTCTGCGTCCGCCACGCCCTTCCGGTGCAGGACGGACACGCTGCTGTCGAAGACTTTGCGCGCCACAACGGCTGGATGCCCGGCGTCGATTACGCTATTGGCAACGAGCGCATCTGGCTCGCGTGGGGCGCGTGGCGCCAGCAGGAGGACATGATCCGCGCCACCGAGACGCGCCACGGTAGCGGCGAGGAGACGCTCACGGATGAGGAGGGTGGGTTCATGTCGCGCAACGCGTCGACCTTTGGGCATGGACGCTATGGCGACGCTGTCGACTCGACGGAAAACTTCCGCCGCTCAGAAAGCATGGACAACCTCTTAGCGCGTTCGGGGACGCAGGAGACGTACGGCGACGGGCATGGTGGTGGTGGCGGCGGCGGTGGCCGCGGCGGCAACTATGGCTATGGCGGCTTAGAGTCGCCGAACCCGAACGACAGCGAGGTCTGGGAGACTTCGAAGGACGGGCCCTACGAGTCGCTAAACGATAAAGACGCGGCGGCCGTGGCGGCAGTGAAGCGCGGCGACTTTGTGCAGTCCGAGAAGCGCCACCACGCGACCGAGATTGTGGAGACGTCACGTGCGCGCCGCTGGTGGATCCGCATCACCTGGACACTGACGTGGTGGATTCCCTCGTTCCTCCTCAAGTGGCCGGGCGGGATGAAGCGCGCTGATATCCGCATGGCGTGGCGCGAAAAGGTCGCCATCTGTATGATGATCGCCTTCCTCTGCGGTATTGTTATTTTTTACATTATCGGATTCGGCCAAGTGCTCTGCCCCGACATGGACAAGGCGTGGAACAAGACGGACCTCAGCAAGCACCAGGGCGATGACGACTACTACGCCGCGATCGCCGGCAAGGTGTACGACTTTACCAAGTTTTACAAGGGCCAGCACTCGGACATGGACTTCAAGACGACATCGCAGATCATGCTCCAGTTTGCCGGCCAGGACCTCACGGGCTACTTCCCCCCGCCCATTAGTGTTGCGTGCGAGGGGCTCGCCAACAAGGACTTTACGTTTCAAAAGGCCAACTTTACGCCCATCATGCCCCAGGCCATCCACACGTCGGGTGTGCTGCAGACTGACAATGACACCAAGCTCCACGACGAGAACTGGTACTGGGACACGCTGCAGCCCAAGCTGAAAAAGTACTACAAGGGCACCTATGTTCATGATAAGAAGGATCTGTCCCAGGGCGCCGCCGAGGACCCGACACGCTTCTGGGGCACGTACAAGAGCAAGGTGTATGACATTTCCGACTATGTCGCCACCAACGACCTGTACGCGTCCGGATCCGGCTATGAGGTCAAGTACGACTTTCTCAACCCGGACCTCGTGTCCATCTTCCAGACGAGCTCGGGCCAGGACCTCACGAAGCAGATTGACGACCTGATCGAGTCGTGGAACTCGGACACGGTCAACCTGCACTTCAACTGTCTCAACAATGCGTTCTATCTCGGCGACGTCGACTTCCGCAAGACGGCCCGGTGCACGGTGCAAAACTACCTGCTGCTGTCGTTCTCGATTCTGCTCATGTCGACGATTCTCATCAAGTTCCTGGCCGCGCTCCAGCTCGGCAGCAAGCGCCAACCCGAGCTGCTCGACAAGTTTGTCATTTGCCAGGTGCCGTGTTACACCGAGGGCGAGGAGTCGCTGAAGAAGACGATTGATTCGCTCGCCGTGCTCAACTATGACGACAAGCGCAAGCTCATCTTTATCATTTGTGACGGCAACATTATCGGATCGGGCAACAACCGCCCCACGCCCCGCATCGTGCTCGACCTGCTTGGTGTTGACCCGAAGCTCGACCCCGAGCCGCTCCTGTTCAAGTCGATCGGTGAGGGCAGCAAGCAGCTCAACTATGGCAAGATTTACTCGGGTCTGTACGAGACCGAGGGCCACGTTGTGCCCTACGTTGTCGTCGTCAAGGTTGGCAAGCCCACCGAAACCTCTCGCCCGGGTAACCGTGGAAAGCGTGACTCGCAGGTGCTGCTGATGCAGTACCTGAACCGTGTCCACTTTGACGCGCCCATGTGCCCGCTCGAGCTCGAAATCTACCACCAGATGCGCAACGTCATTGGTATCGACCCGACATTCTACGAGTACATCTTCCAGGTCGACGCCGACACGACGGTGACGCCTGATTCATTGAATCGTTTGATTTCGTGCGCGGCCGACGACCAGAAGATTATTGGTATTTGTGGCGAGACCAAGGTCGCCAACGAGCGCGAGTCGTGGACGACCATGATCCAGGTGTACGAGTACTACATTTCCCACCACTTGACCAAGGCGTTCGAGTCGCTCTTTGGGTCTGTCACCTGTTTGCCCGGCTGTTTCTCCGTGTACCGTATCCGCACGGCGGACAAGGGCCGCCCCATCATCATCTCGTCGGTCGTCATTGACGAGTATGCCGAGCCCAACGTCGACACACTGCACAAGAAGAACCTGTTCTCGCTCGGAGAGGACCGATACCTGACGACGCTCATGATGAAGCACTTCCCGACGTTCAAGATGAAGTTTTCGCCCGACGCCATTGCGTACACGGTCGCGCCGAGCAGGTGGAACGTGCTGCTGTCGCAGCGTCGTCGTTGGATCAACTCGACCATCCACAATCTCGTCGAGCTCCTGTTCCTGCCCGAGATGTGCGGCTTCTGTTTCTTCTCGATGCGCTTCATGGTCTTTGTCGACCTGCTCGGTACCATCATCCTGCCCGCCACCTTTACGTACCTCGTGTACCTGATCATCATCTGTGCGACGCACAAGGCGGCCGTCCCCATCATCTCGATTGCGATGATTGCAGCCGTCTACGGTCTGCAGGCAATCATCTTCATCCTGAAGCGCGAATTCATGCTGATTGGCTGGATGATTGTGTACATCATCGCCTTCCCGGTGTACTCGCTCTTCCTGCCCGTCTACTCGTTCTGGTCGATGGACGACTTCTCGTGGGGTAACACGCGCCGTGTCGTCGGCGAGGGCAAGGACAAGACGATCGTGTACGACGACGAGGAGCGCTTTGAGGAGTCCATGATCCCCTACCGCACCTTCAAGGAGTACGAGGCGAATGCGTGGGAGGCGGCGTCGCTGCCGTCCGACGAGGAGCGGGACGAGAAGAGCGACGCGGGGTATTCGCGCCGCACGCGCCGGACCCGCAACACGGCGTCCAATCTGGCACCGTCGATCCACTCGTCTGCTCCCTCGTACGTTGGATCCCGCCAGCCCTCGCCTGGTCCCTATGGCGCGCAGCTCATGCCCATGGCCCCCATGAGCAACTGGGGCACCGAGTCTCTCTACGGCGGCTACCCCCCGACGATGCCGTACGCGCACAA